ACATACATACATTACATACATACATACATACATACATACATACATACATACATACATACATACATACATACATACATACATACATACATACATACATACATACATACATACATACATACATACATACATACATACATACATACATACATACATACATTTCATACATACATACATACATACATACATACATACATACATACATACATACATACATACATACATACATTACATACATACATACATACATACATACATCATACATACATACATACATACATACATACATTACATACATACATACATACATACATACATACATACATTACATTACATTACATTACATTACATACATTACATTACATTACATTACATTACATTACATTACATTACATTACATTACATTACATTACATTACATTACATACATACATACATACATACATACATACATACATACATACATACATACATACATACATACATACATACATACATACATTACATACATACATACATACATACATACATACATACATACATACATACATACATACATACATACATACATACATACATACATACATTACATACATACATACATACATACATACATACATACATACATACATACATACATACATACATACATACATACATACATACATACATACATACATACATACATACATACATACATACATACATACATACATACATACATACATACATACATACATACATACATACACATACATACATACATAACATACATAACATACATACATAACATACATACATACATACATACATACATACATACATACATACATACATACATTACATACATTACATTACATTACATTACATTACATTACATTACATTACATTACATACATACATACATACATTACATACATTACATACATACATACATACATACATACATACATACATACATACATACATACATACATACATACATACATACATACATACATACATACATACATACATACATACATACATACATTACATACATACATACATACATACATACATACATACATACATACATACATACATACATACATACATACATACATACATACATACATACATACATACATACATACATACACATTACATACATACATACATACATACATACATACATACATACATACATACATACATACATACATACATACATACATACATACATACATACATACATACATACATACATACATACATACATACATACATACATACATACATACATACATACATACATACATACATACATACATACATACATACATACATACATACATACATACATACATACATACATACATACATACATACATACATACATACATACATACATACATACATACATACATACATACATACATACATACATACATACATACATACATACATACATACATACATACATACATACATACATACATACATACATACATACATACATACATACATACATACATACATACATACATACATACATACATTACATACATACATACATACATACATACATACATACATACATACATACATACATACATACATACATACATACATACATACATACATACATACATACATACATACATACATACATACATACATACATACATACATACATACATACATACATACATACATACATACATACATACATACATACATACATACATACATACATACATACATACATACATACATACATACATACATACATACATACATACATACATACATACATTACATTACATTACATACATACATTACATTACATTACATTACATTACATTACATTACATACATACATACATACATACATACATACATACATACATACATACATACATACATACATACATACATACATACATACATACATACATACATACATACATACATACATACATACATACATACATACATACATACATACATACATACATACATACATACATACATACATACATACATACATACATATGTACATGCATGCATACATACGAGAGAGGGAGAGTGGGGAGAGAGAGGCTTGGGGGGATGGGGAGGATGGGAGCAGAGGGAGGGAGAGAGGACGACAGAACACACAAGGGAGACAAGGAAGAGAGGAAGACGGAGAAAAGGGAGAGGACAATGTCGGCGGACTGAGCCGGAGGCTCTAAAGTATTCGGTACTATGTGACCTCAGCTGCAAAACCCGTAGAAACCAGCGCGCCTGAGGTGGCCACTGAGCCGCAGGTGACGCCCACTGCAAAGACCTGGGCAATCTTCTCCAGCGGTTCCAATGGTCCGATGGTCCACCCTCTTCTTCTCAGCCATTGGATTTTCTTTGGGAGGGTTCGCAGTTGGCTTCCGAAAAATAGCCGGGGAAATCCGTGCAGGTCTCCTGTGTTGGTCGAAATAATGGCTGCACTTAGGAAAAACCTGGGCCGAAAGCAAACACGAGCGAATCAGGCTTCCAAAGGTGAGCCGAAACACCTCGATGCATCATGCAGAGAAAACTTTGAAAACAATCGAACAACTGAAACACTTGGTTAACTGATGTGTTGGCCGTCAGGGGGTACGGGACGGGTCTTTTTTTGCTTAACCCTGTCTTTTGCTTAACCCTGTCTCCGTTCTGGGGCTCAGTTTCATTACCCGGAGCTACTTGGTGGGCACACGCTCTGGACAGTAAGAGTGCAACAGTTCTTGGCATTTCGGTCGGAACCGATTTCCGGATGGGGCATTAGTCACTCCATTGCCTGGCCCCCCGAAGAGCAGCACACAAAGCCCACTCTGTTTTGGACTTCGGGACCGACTTCTGGAGAATAAAAGGCACGAGAAATTAAAGCCACCAAAATTATCATCATTTGACATGCTGGGCCGCAGTTCGCGCGGGGGGTGTCTCTCTTTTGCTGTCTGTTTGGCATTCACAAGTCCACTCTTAGCCATGCACTCCCGCTGGTACTGGCTGAAGCCTGGTGCCTAGACACTGTTCCGCTACAGCAATAGTACAACGCGACAGCCAAGGGCGTCCAGTATTGAGTTTCCATGTCACCCGCTGGTACTGGCTGAAGCCTCGTGCCTAGACACTATTGCACAGCAGACACTATTGCACAGCAACAGTGTCTAGGCACGAGGCTTCAGCCAGTACCAGCGGGTGCACATGGAAACTCAATACTGGACGCCCTTGGCTGTCGCGTTGTACTATTGCTGTAGCGGAACAGTGTCTAGGCACCAGGCTTCAGCCAGTACCAGCGGGAGTGCATGGCTAAGAGTGGACTTGTGAATGCCAAACAGACAGCAAAAGAGAGACACCCCCCGCGCGAACTGGCGGCCCAGCATGTCAAATGATGATAATTTTGGTGGCTTTAATTTCTCGTGCCTTTTATTCTCCAGAAGTCGGTCCCGAAGTCCAAAACAGAGTGGGCTTTGTGCTGCTCTTTCGGGGGGCCAGGCAATGGAGTGACTAATGCCCCATCCGGAAATCGGTTCCGAAGGCCGAAATGCCGAGAACCAACCAACCAACCAACCAACCAACCAACCAACCAACCAGCCAACCAACCAACCAACCAACCAACCAACCGGGTCGGACAGGGCTAAGCAAAAGACAGGGCTAAGCAAAAAACAACCACCCATTCCGCCTTCAGGTGATAATCAAAACCTGACACGTAAGCGGTATGTAAGGTGTCTACCCAACACTATGTAAGACTCCAAAGAGCTGATATCTACTGTCCCTTACCAATCAGGGAAACACCCACAATTCGCTTTGTAGCCTCCAGGGGCACATTGGAAAGCTTGGTCATCATGTCGGCCAACACACTTGCCAGGTGCATAGGCCTGGCTGTTCAGCCTCAAAGTGGGGCCATCTTTTCCAAAGATCCACTATCACTCCAAGTGGTCAAACCAAAGCGCCTTGATAGGAAAATATTCAAATCGTCTGGGATTGCAGCCCCTGTCATAAAACATCATACTTGAAACATGTACACATGTACCCCAAAACAGGCTTCACTTTAGCGCTAACCTGCGCCAATGGTTTCCGAAGGATTGCATATGCACAGGTCGCCAAGAAACCGGAGCTAAGACCAACCCAAAGCCTCCAACGAGGTGTCTCTGTCAGGGTAAACTCTTAAAGCACGAACAAAAACACCCTTCCGTGTGAAAACGCGCACGGAGTCCATGTGGGATGCTTTGCGTCTCGGTTCCCTTCTCCGCTCCCCAACCGGTCGCCAGCTTTGAAACAGCCTCCAAACGGCCAGAGGTAGCAAAAAAACGCCCAAGGCCTCGAGGCCCGAGCGCCCCAGGTGCCTAAGCGCCCCAGGCTGCCGTCGAGACCCTCGGGGCCTCGGCCAGGATGGGCGGCCCTCGCAAGATTCAACCAATGCTTCAAAGTTGACACAAAGGTGCCGAAGCGAAGGCTCGCCAACCCTCTCCGCTTCAAACCCGGGAAGACGCTTCAAAACTTCGTCCAAGATGTAGCTTGGTTGCCGTTCAGTTGCAGGCCGACATGACGTCTGCACGTCTCAGGGCACTGATGCATGCATTTTTCAAATTGGGGACGGCAGCCTTCGGGCTCTGGTGAATACTCGCAGCCTGTGACCTGACTTGAAGGTATGTTTGAAGGCCTACAGGAAGAAATATTGAGAATCAATGCAATTGCATGAGTTGAGAGCTCCATTTCGCTACAGGAAGCCGGTCAAGCATGGATCATACTGGCCATGTTGGGGCCCTATGCTACCCCCTTGCATTTTAGCTTCAGCGAATGGCTGAAGCCGGCCCGTGGAAAGTGAGGTCAGCTCTGTAGATGCAAATGGGAACAGCTGGACCTTGCCCCACACCTGGCAAAACAAAAATCAGGGCACCAACAGTTCTATAAAGATAAAGGTCGGTCGCGAGATGTCACCAAAACGCACCTCACAAAGGACTCAAGCCTACGAGACGGTGAAGCTTTGCCTGCTTGGACTTGCTGTCCAAGCAGCCACAGGCGAGGCACAGCATTTGCGAGAAGCCGTTCACCTGGCCAAAGCGAACGCAAACGCTGTGAGGCCCAAATGAATGTGTCACCCGGTGACCTCGAGGTTGGTTTGGGAAAACCAAATGGGGTGAAATGCTGGCCATGGTCAAAGCTGCTTTCATTCGGCAACACTTGCCTCCACGGAAGCACACACGCCCGGCGTCGTCGCCTGGAAGCGGGGCAGCAAGGAACGGCGTAATCGGCCTAAAGGTTAGATCTTGCTCACAAGGCGGCGCTTGTGGCAATCATGGGTAATTTGAGGTGACAGCTGAAATCAACATGAAGACCGAAGCGCCTGTCACTGGAAGCGCCTGTGGGCTGTTGGAATGGCCAAAACGAATGCACCAATTAGGACGTAGGGTTTTCGGGTTTTAGGGCTTTCGGACTTGGGCTTGCAGGGTTGCCTCTCCAGCTTGAGATCCTTCTTGAACGTCAACCGGATTTGCGCATCAGGCAAATTTAGGCCTCAGGGGGAAGTGGGCGACGATGAAAATCCACGATATGAATTCGGTTTCCTGGTTTCAGGTTTAGGGGGTTACAATGTGTCTCCATGTTGCAATCCATTTTAAATGTCAGCCATTTTTGAGGTATCAAGAAACTTAAACGTCAGAAGAAAGTGGACGAACACGAACATGCAAATGAAGACAACGAATCACAATTCAAAAAAGGGATTGGGATTGCAGAGTGCTCGGCGACTTGGGCTTGTTTGGTTGAAGGGGTCAGGGCTTTAGGGTCTATGGTGTAGGATCATGCTTTGGAGGTTGCCACCAGTTTTGGCGCCCTCTTCAACGTCAGCCGACTGTCGGGTGTCAGCAGGAATCTAACGCAACTTGAGCCATGTCCTAAACGTGACATGATTTGCTGCTATGTCGTATCATTCTGCTTACGCCACCAGCTTACGCCACCTTACGTGTGTGGAGTTTTTCCTTACGCGCTGGTCGATATGACATGACTCTTACTAAACATGTACATGGAGGTTTTGGACGCCGCTCACTTGGGATTTCAAGCGTCACCGCCTACTCGGCGCTTTCAGGATGGCAGGACAGGGCAAGCCGACTTTGAGATGTCATTCGGTCTCTGGGTGCGTCAACTTAGGCCCCCTGCTTGCTAGAGGCTTTGGGTTCAGAAACCCAGCGCTACGATTCACTAACGTATATAGCTAAGTGGTCTGCAGGTTTGCAGTGTGCCACGAAAGTAGTGGACTCATGATCACAACTCCAGCTGCAACATATCAAATCAAACACCCCCAAACTCCCATGGCATCTGGGCTCCGGCCAGTCCCACGTCGCAGCTCTCGCCTTCCGAGCGGACCCCGCTTATGGGAAACCCAAACATGTGGCCCTTTTGGATTGTTTCAGCTCAGGGTATCTTGGCCCCTCGGGTACCCTTTTGGAGTTGGCGCCCTTTTCTGCAAAGGAGTTGGCACCCTTTGAGATGGCGTTGAAGGAAAGCAAACGGAAACTGGGCTCTTTGCACGGGGTCCCTCATTTGGAAACAAACCCATATGGACAATCCAATGTTCCCTTTTCAATATACTCCAGTCGCCTGCATATGTAAAATTATATAAAATTATATAGTGTACATGTGTGTGTGTGTGCGCATTCCCAACATGAGGGGAACCCCCAACAAGCTGGGTGGTGTCCTTGTGCTTGCCCTTCAAAAAACTGTCCACAAGGGCTCCACAACGTCAAATAACGTCCAAATAATATTCAATATACACCCCAGTCGCCTTCGTATGTATACATATATATACATATATGGGAGACACGCAAGGTAGCATACCGTCAAGTGGTCCCAATGCGTCGTAAAGTGGCTTCCCCGAATGTGTCCCAAAGGGGCTTGCATCGAATACCATTCAGGTGCTCATGGAGCTCAACAGCTATGTCAAGAGCCAATTTCTGTTCCGCGAAAAAGGGAAGTACTTGTTGACCACGTAAAGTGGGGCACTGACGAAGCGAGCAAGGGACAAGGCGTGACTTGGTGCGAAAAGCAGACCGTTGTGTGAAGCGAAGCGAGTGAAAAGAGTGGAAAAGGAGCGAAGCTGGCGATCAGGCACGCGGGGGGGGGGGGGGGCAGAGGGCGGACCAGGGGCGAGTCGAAGGGGGGAGAGGGGGGGGGGGGCTTCCGCAGTGCCTATCGCACTTGACTCGATCCTCGAGTCTATGTTGGACGTTATTTGAAATTGTGGAGCCCTTTTGGACAGTTGTTTAAAGGGCAAGCACAAGAATGTGTGGGGGTCCCTCTCATCACGAAAGGTTCAAGGAGGCTAGCTTGAGATTGTCCTTGCGATAGCAAGGCTAGACTCAGGGGGGTCTGGGGGTCGGCCTGGTCAATCAGACTACTGCCCGAACCAAACCCTCTGCTGGCACGGATCAAAAGCGTTCACTGCAGGGCAAGCAGCCTCCTGCTTGCTCATCTACCGCATTGCTTGAGGGTATTTCATGTGTCCGTTAATTAGGCCAGAATTATATCAATATGAGCTTCCTTGTGATGTCCGGTTCAAGCTTGCCTGCCCAAAACGTGTTCAAACAAAAACTTGATCAAGAACAAGTCACGCTGAAAATGGTTGCTGGATGCGTCCGCGCCTAGGTTCTTGCCGTGACAGGTCAGGTCCTGCGACATAGCCGCCTGCAACAGCTCGCTCGGTTGCTTGGTTGGTTGGCTGGGTTGGGTTGGGTTTGGTTTTGTCAAGTTGTTTGGTTGGTTGGTTCTCTGCGCGGTTTTGCTTGGTCGGTCAGTTGTTTTGATTTGGGTCCCTCGATTAATTTTTCGTGGCTAGGCTTGCTGGCCTCTCTCGCAGCGTCGCTTCTTGCTCCCTCCTTTTCGTTTCCTTCATCCGCCAATTCCCCCCCTTCCCGAAGGAAGACTCTGAGCTCCAGCCTGAGTCATACCCAATGGCCTGAAAAGGCAACACTTGCTTCCTACTTTGGCAGGCACACGCTGTTAGCACACAATGGTTGTCAGAATCGGGGCACCCCCAAACATTGTCAAAAGGGGTATCCTCCAAAAAAAAACACATCCACACACACACACACATCCACACGCACACGCACATCCACACAACCACCCACATATTCCCGCTATGATGTTCACCAAAGGTTCCGTCGCCTCCAGCAGCGCAAAGCCCAGGAGCGCCCCGAGCATCGAAGCCAAGGCCGCGGAGGCCGCGGCCCCACGGACATTGGATGCCGCGTGATGGTATCCCTATGATGCATCAATGGTAGCGTATTCGTTTGCACACATGTATGCATGCGTGTGTGTGTGTGTGTGTGTGTGTTGCGTAAAATAGTATGTATTGGTATGCCACGGCCTGTCGGTCTGTACGGCATGTCGAAATGGTAGGTAGAGGAGGGCGTAAAAATATATATTTCACCAGTGCCCCAGGACTGTAGACTGACATGGCAAAGCCGCAATTGACGCATCTCTCGAAGGAAAAAGCTAAAGTTCTGTGTGGGTCTTGCCACTGCTGGCATCGACTCAGCGGCGACAGAGTCGACGATTTCTTGCTAAGAATCCAAGCTGGATTTGGCCGCCTCTATATACTCGTTGTTTGGACCACTCAGGTTGTGAACTTGTGCTCTATGGATGAAATGTTGGACTCTAGCCCTCACTAACAGTCCGCTCAGTCTTCATTTCAGGATAATTCTCTTACTTGACCAAGCTTCAAATTGCTTGTTGACCAGTGGGCAGGGAGCCCATGGCTAGGTTCTCTTCCCATTCAACCCCTGTGTCGACATCGGCGCCTTTGAGCCGGCAGAGTTCTGGCGGGAGTTGTACGCGGCTCGGTCGGCTCCCAAGGCGCCGGTCTCTTTCCCGAGCTTCGTGTCAAATCGGCAAGGACTCACGCCCATTCGGCGGCATTAAAATCTGAGCCCTGCAAGCTGCCACTGGAAGCCGCGAAGCGAAGCTATGGATCGAACAAGCGCAACAAAGTAAGCATGATTCCAGCTCAAGCAGCAGCATTCAAACTAATCCGGTTCAGCCAGGCGTTGCCAAACGCAACTCTGCCAAGGCTAAAGAAATTAGACGTTCAAATGGTCAGGTCCATTGACCTATATGCTGATCAGAAACAGATCACACCATCACCTGGCACGGCGCTGCTAAGCTCTTCGCTCTCGCTTCCTGGATTTGGAAACCACCTACTCCCATGCCATTTTAGAAGCTCGCGGCGGGAGAAGAGTAGAGCAAAAAGCAAGGAGAAGAGGCAGAAGGCCAGGCAAAAAGGCATGCCGAGGTGAATTGAGATGACGGCAATGGGGAGGAAGACGAAAAGAAGAGCGAGGAACATGCGAAGGAAAAGACTGGCAAAAGAGCAGGCAGCTCTCAAAGTGAAAGAATGACGAGCGGGAGAAGATAGGGGAGAGGAGCTGAGAGAAGATCAAAGAGCAAAGAGCGACAAACTTGGCAAGGGGAGAAGCAGAGAGGAGTAGAGAGCAAAGAGAAGAGCAGGTAGAACAGAACGAGTGCTGAAGAGTAAATTGGTACTGAACTGAGAGGTTTTCCAAAAATGCAGGCCAACCCATTTCTTCCGCGTTCCTTCCTGTGAGGATTTTCCAATCCAAAATGCTTTGGCGCGCTATCTCTTGTTGGGGCGCATGCAAATATTTGCTCAAGGAACAAAAATCAAACCACCCCCAACCCGCCGATTCCCATCCCAAGTTTGGCCTGGCCTACATGCGGAAGACGCCGAAGCCGCCGCTTGCGCCGCCGCCCTCACGGCTGCAGATGCGCAAGCACCGGCCCAGCACGTGCCGGGTGTCCCGCGGATCCTCATGGCAAGCCGCCAACGTTGGCCGGGGTGCGGATGGCGTCTTTCTAGCGACGGGCAACAATCTCAAGGGCCATGGGTGCCCTGTCCAATCGAAACGCCAAGTGCTCAACCACTTGGAGGGCCCTGAATTTGAAACCAAACCAGGAAAGTGGTTGATGCCAACACGAGCTTCGCCGACACATCTTGT